TTATTATTATTATTATTATTATTATTATTATTATTATTATTGTTATTATTGTTATTATTATTATTGTTATCATGATTATTATAGTACTCGATAATCGCAGTATTCCTCTAGTACAGAACCACGGCAGTACATGCTGGAAGTCTTTGGACGATCAGAAAGTGATGTTTGAACATAAGACAGATTTCGGTTGATGTGGAATCCAACCAATAACAAGTGATCAGAATTGAAGTTTGAAATTTGAACTATAATCTTTGTTTTGTTGCAGAAAAACTGCGTTCGTGGCTGCTGCTCCTGAAAGACACAGTTGAAAAACTAGATATTTCAAGCGCAGATGCGTCCTCGGTGATTTCGGAATTAAAAAGTCGCCTGGATCAGGTGTGTTATTCCAAAAAAGTATAATTTTTTCAAGCTTTAAATAACTGAAAGTACACAGTTTAGAATCATAGAGCCTGACGTAGCTGCACTGACGTGTAAAAAATCCCAGTATCATCGTTAACATAACACTGTGGCGCCGATTTAACGGACGCTTTTCGTATTTCTGGTATTTTAATAGCCACTGTGGTTTGAAGTCCGAGGAATTTTCGCTGTTTCGGTGATGTCGATCCTTTTACTCTGGAAATTTGTGCGTTTGCAGGTCAGCGATATGCATGGTCTTTCGGGCATTGTTGCGGTCTCGCAATATCTACAAAATACGCACACATTGTTGACAAAGTTATCACATTTCTGCATGCTGGATGAGGCGTTCGTGAAAAAAGTAGATGCGGCGACTAATTTTGCGTATGGTTGGATGATCGCTGACCAGTAATCACTTTATTTTCATTGAAACTGCCTAAAATGAATAGAGAAAAAAGCTAAGTAAAAATGTTAAAAACTTCGTTTTCACTCTACCAAGGGCTAGAGTAAATCGGCAGTAGTATTTTTGCCAGAAGCACTCATCTATTGCCAAGACCCTCTCTTCCGAGTTTGTCTACAAGCAAGCTTTTAGAAGAGGCACAAGTAATTCGTCAGAAACATAGCATTTGCAATTGAAGATTTCAGTTTTTATGCGTTTTGTGCTGTGTAACAGCAGTACAAAACGCATATTGTTACGGGGTTGT